CGGTAGAGCATGGGAAGCTGAAAAGTCCTTGACTAGTGTAAGCACTGCTCAGCAACAACTAAAACATCGGTGTGTTATCACATTATTCTCATGCTAAATCCAAAACACAGCACTGTGCCAGCTACTAGGAAGGAAATTAACTCTATCCCAGCCAAAGCCAGGACAAGCACGTAGGTTCCCACATGCTCCACAGTGCCCTACATCGAAGCTTCACATGCTCACTGCCCGGACAGTGAAGCTTGACTGGAGAACAGCCTAGAAAGACGGCTTCAGTCATGTCCTCTAAGACCTCACGCTACTCCTCCACCACTCCTCCCTCAGCAAACCCTGAGAATAAGGAGGTTTTTATAGGAGAAATGGTTCAGTGCTGATTTCCAAGTGTGCTTTAGCCATGTGGGGCAGGAGACCAAAAACCACGGAAAATTGCTTGTACAGAAGAACATAAGTGGAGACAGACCTGAATCAGCATATGGCAGATGTCCACGTGGCCAGACTCGGCGGCAGCATGGAGAGGGGTTCTCTTACTCTGATGCTCCATTTTAAAATTAGGGTCAATTCCATCCACTGAAAAACAGAGCAGAGATGCTTTCAACCACAATTCAGAGATTAGAGAAAAGCCTAACAGGAGAACCAGCTCTCAACTAAAGGCTTTTAAAGGACGGGTTCCCAGCCCATCCTCAGTCCTCCTCATGACTCACTACACGTTCAAGCCAGAAAGCTCTCAGGGTAGTCCCATGGACATTCGATATGCAACAGCCCTCAAACCAAAAGCTTCAGAAACACCATGGAATTTAATACCTTTAAGGCATTACAATTTCTACACAGGCCGTCTCCCTCAGATTCACAATTCCCTATCTCTCAATGCAGCAAAACCAAACACCACTGGTGATAGGACTTGTAGCAATAGGACAAGGGGTAATGGTTTTAAACTGAAAGAGGGTAGATTTAGACTAGATATAAGGACGAAATTTTTTACGCTGAGGGTGGTGAAGCACTGGCACAGGTTGCCCAGAGAGGTGGTGGATGCCCCATCCCTGGAAACATTCAAGGTCAGGTTGGACGGGGCTCTGAGCAACCTGATCTAGTTGAAGATGCCCCTGCCCATGGCAGGGGGGTTGGACTAGATGACCTGTAAAGGTCCCTTCCAACCCAAACCATTCTATGAACACCATAAAAGGATAAAAAGGAAAAAATATGCTGTTTAAAGCAACACAGAAGTTGGAAACAACAGAGAGTCAGTACTACCTGGCCTTTTTGTCTCACCACTATTAACTGCAATTAATATTAGCGATCCTCATTGCATCCCCACAAACACAGGGCTACAAAGTGGATGGAGCTTCTCCTAACACGAGCTCAGGATCTGGCCAGAGATTCTCACAGCTGTGCAAAGACTGACAGATGATGATGACAGCCAGACAAAGATGTCTGGACATGATAACACGTTGCGTATGATGAGGCCGTAGTTAAATACCAATGAATAACATTTTTGTGCTATTGAAGACACGAACAATGAAGCTAACACTAGAAGAAAAAAAAGAAGAATCTGATAAATGAAAAGAACAGAAAGCATCCAAAAACATACCGCAAAGTACTGGCGTGGAAAGGAAATTATCCCAAGGAAACACTGTGTCCTTCAAAGCAGGAGATTCCTCGGGAATATTTGTTGGTAAAAACAAGCTCAGCAGCTCAAAGTCATCTGGTGACAGACAACTGTGTAGCCCCAAAACAAACCCTGTGTATTGAAGGGCTCTTCCTTCCTGCTGTCTTGCTGATGGGTCTCACCTTAAGCTGATTCCCATCTTTTTTCCTCTCTACTGGATGCAAATACCTAACTATCCCATTGCACGGACAGGAGAAGTTCTGTCAGACTGGAAAAATCACATTTGGGGACAGGAACAGCTTCTCTGGATAAAACCATGCCCAAATGCAGAAACAAGTTGGGAGCAGGTCCACATTTCACAGAAAGATGAAGCCATTTCCAATGACACATCACTTGCAAAAGTGGCTTTCTCCTCCAACTCCACTCACAAGGGGCAGTGGGGAATATGACGTGCTGCCATGCTGGGAACTGGACTCTGGCAGCTGCCTGGCAGGAGCTGGGAGTACTGCCAGACATGCAGTGTCCTGGGAAAGAGCCACCTACCCAACATAAGCAGGACTTTTTGCAGCTCTCCTTGCCTCGCAGAGAAGTACAACTGCTTTGGATGGAACCGTAACTTCTTGGGTCTGCAGCAGTGGGGAAAAGAGGCATAATTAATACTCACTGAAGAACACTCCTGGCATTTCACCCCACCCCACTGCTACCCCATGTGTATGATAAAGTCTGTTCCTATGGTACAGCTCCAGAGTGCCAGCAAAACACAAGAACAAGTCTCCAGAAGGAGGTCTTAAAACTTCCAGCTCCAACCGCAGGCAGCCTTGTTCTAATGAGGGCCATATCTATTCAGTGCCGCTCATCAACAAATTCTGGGTCTTACTACTGTAAACGGGAACTTCTAGTAGTTACAGCTGCGGTTGGAGGGCCAGTAAAAAAACAAATATTCCAGACAAATCAATAAGACATTTAGAGCTATAACTGTTCTCTTGAATCAGTAATCTGTTGGGGGTGACAAATGACTGAAGTGAACAAAAAAAGGTCTAAGTGGGGCCAAAATCCAGAGAAGCTAAATCTCAGTTTTCTCTAGATTAAGCAACTTTGCTGGGAACTGGAAAGACCCAGCAGTCGTCTTCTTACTTTTCAGAGTCCAGGGCAATCAGGGCACTTTCCAGAGTTTCTTTAACTGGTCCCTGGGTCAGACTAGCAGTAGGCTTTGGAAAAACTGAAGACCCAGCCATGTCAAACCCCTCAGCAGCCGAACTTTCTGGCTTGTCTTCCTCTGACAACCGCGTCCCAGTGCCACTGAAGAGAAAAAATAAGAGACAGCCAAAGCACAACCATTAAAAATACACAACAGTGTGTATCTTATGCCAAAGAAGGAAAGGAAATGGATTTTAAATACAGATAAGTGTAAGTGAAATCGAAACACAAACCAATCTATTTTACAGCCTTTTCGGTAAGAACTTGCCCCAAAAAGGAGTTGCACTACCCTATTATTACATTTTGATGTACTCTGTGCTACAGGAAACCCAGGAAAATGTGGCAAGTCATAAAAGCCACCAGAAGAAGATCAGATCGGACAGGAAGTCGGAGCACTGTTCAACGCAGGGGTGGCTTGATTTGTGTCTTCCTCTGTGTTTTCATCCTCTCTTTATACTTGCGCCCATTGGTGCAAGTCAGGAGCTACAACTAGGTACTGCATGAACTTCCCTGTCACTTAGCAGACCTGGCAACATCAACTCGTTCCACTATTACTCCATTCCTAACAATAAGTGGAAGGAATGGTTTTAACTCCTAAACCCCTCCTATCTTCATAGCCTCTGCCCCAGCTCACCCTGTGGTTGCCGCACTCTTCTCCAACACAAAACGAGCAACGAGCAACACAAAACACACTTGCAGATTCCTGCAGCTGAGTTTGGCTTGTCAGAGCAGGACCAGAAAGCATTTTGCTCCATCAGGAGGAGCACAAGCGTTCAAATGCAAAGCACGGTCTGGCGTGAGGTTTGAGATCGCCACGTGCTCCCAAGCTCACCTCCCCGTCGTGGTGTCGGCCCTTCCCTCCACAGCCGCTGGTTTCTGCTGCTCGTAGGTCAGCGACACCGTTGAGGTTGTGTCTGCTTTTGCTATTGTCACCTCCTTTGCCTTGGAGGCCTCCTCCCCGCAGTGTGGGCAGTAGCTCATGTCGTTGACCTGGGAGGCACAGTTCTTGTGGAAACGGTGGGAGATGCTGCTCTCCGGCTGACACTCCATGAAAGTGCCCTAAAAAAACCACAGAGAAGAAATTCACACCTTGGTCACTACGTGCCTTACCCGTTCTACATGCTTCGTCCGCAGATCTCTTAAACACTTCAATCACCACCACTCTTGTCCCTGGCGCTTCCAATACAGTAAGCAAGCACTGCCACTTCTTTAGAAGAGAACAAAACCAAGGTAACGGGGAAAAAACTCACTTGGTTAGGGACTGCAAAGCAAGTTTTTTAATTGCGTTTGGGAAACAGAACCAAGAAGTCCCAATATCCAGCTCTTTCCTCTAACGCTTGAAGTTCTCGCTTATGTTTCTAGAAGTGCCAGTGTACTGTAAGGACGCCCCCAAAACTGGAAAAGAAAACTTCAGACCTGCGTGCTGAGCCAGCATTAAAACTACCTAACAAAGCTGCGCACAAACCATTCAAGGACCTACGCGAATATCATTAAATCAGCTGTTAACCCCAATGTAACCTAAAGCATGCGACTTCTCTGCTTGAACCAGCCCCATATGCTGTTTAACCCCAATAATGTGGCTGACTGCTCATTCAACAAACTTCGGCAACTTTTCTTAAAATTCTTTTCCCTTTCCAGCAAAGTCCTCTGAACTGAACTGAAGGTACCCCAGGATTCATTGCTCTGTGCTATTAGTGCTACCTGAAGCCCTACTGTGCTCTGTGTTATTAGTGATGGATAGCACAGACAAACACTCCCAGATTCACCTGTGTGACCTATGACACGTCACTCAGAGATGTAAGAGCATGTAAGGAAAGGCTAGTTAAAACCCACTCTTCTCCCGAATTCACGGTCCTCCCAAGCAATCTAATTACCCCTATTTCAGCTTTGCAAAGTGCCTTTTAAGGGTTTTGAGGATTTTATCTTTTAAATGATCTTTGACTCAGCATGAAAACCCAGGATGGCTCCATTTATTACAATTACAATAATGCTTGAGACTACTGTAGCATCTTTCATTGAAGAACACTAGCATCAGACAATTAAGCCTCCCCATCACCCCGTGAAGCCCTCAATTGGTGTTTTTCAGCTTTACCACCAGGGAAGCTAGGACGCTGACGACTTAAAGGACTGGACCAACGCTATTAGAAGCCTCAGTGGCAGAGGCGGAAGAAGCAGCAGGAGATCTCAAACACTGCCTTGTTCCAGTGCCTTCACTCAGGTTTCCCGTCTAAACCCTCATGAGCAGACCGGGGGACAGAACCACTCTTGTGAACACAGATTCATTTACAAACCAAACTAACACAATTTTTTATGTGATTGATCTGTACAGAGAAAGAAAAAAAATAAACCTTGTTCCAATGAAATTCCTAAGGCAAGACTTCCAGCGTGTGAAACCCCAGTGAAAACCCTTCAGTAACACCCCTTGGGGTCTCCAGGAAGATAAAGGTGACAATTGCAGCTACCCTCACACACATTCCTGTTGAAAACACCACCTGACGTGCTGTGGAACGAGGTGGAGCTGATGCCAGGAAGTCAGTAAACCCCTTTAGGTACCATCTCCACCTTCAGCTCTTCCAGCTACTGCGACAGGTACCCCCTTCCCTAGATTGAGAGCACGGACTTACTGCAGTGCAAAAGTATCCACAGCCAGGGCAACACTGGTGTTTCACCATCCTCCCTCTATGGTCCTCACACAGCACCAAAAGCTGGACTTTGTTAGACGGGCGCATCAGTTCATACTTAACCACACTGTTTGTGCATCGGCCCAGCTGGAACAGGAGAAATTAAAGGAAATGAAATTACTGGAGACCAAAACACTCTCTGTGCTTGTGCGGAGGAAGATTTTGCACACTGCCTTGATGAGCCCTGGCTTTTTCACAGTAATTCAGAAGTGTGCCAGATAGCATTAGCAGTGCAGCAGGAAGCTGTGAAAGCTGCTCTCACAGGAAGAAATGCATCATTTACTAACTAACATGCATGTGGACCCCGAATCGTTTGTTCCTTGCAAGAAAAAAAAAATCGTAACTGGAAATACGCAACAGCCAAGCAGCCACAGAAGGGGCAGTCCCATGGGCCTGACTCACACAACATACGCTCTCCTTTTGCCAGGAAGAGCGGGTGTCGGTGACCAAGAGAACAAGACCATACGCACTAAATCTTGTTACTGTTCAAAAGTATAAGTCACAGGAAGATAAAGGGAAAAATAATTGCTCTTCGTTGCCAGCGAAGTTATCGTCTGTACTGGTTCCAGCACTGGCCCCTGCCCAGACCACAGGGATGAATAGCCAGGCTTTCACGAGAGCTCAACTAAAGTCACATTTTGAGCATGTTTTCCGAAAGATTTCACCAATGTATAGCTCTGGGCTTAAAAAGCTGTCTTCTCGTGCGCCACCTTGTTCTGTTAATGACAGCAGGCTCCGTAACTGGGGTTCACTTTTCCCAATCAGTGTTACTCGCTCTGCTGCGTCAGAAGGATCAGCGCTTGCTTCTGCTGCCCCCATTCATACACCTACGACATTTTCACATCCCAGTTGCCACCTGATAGCATGACGCAACGCTGTTTGGGTTCTGTAAGTTCCTCTTGATAATAACCTTGCTTTCCCCAGATGCTTGGCAAAGGACATTTACAAACTAGAAATATAAACATGGAAGGCTGCTACAAGGAAACGTCCCTACCGAAATCTGTGCATGGTTTACTGTGCGCTGCCACCATGAGCAGAGGAGTCAGTCAGGAACACGGTGCCTGCTCATCACCAACAGACTGTCCCTCTGGTCTAGCTGAGGTTTGATTTGCTGCCTTTTCCTCAACAAAACTAGACTTTCTCTCTAATTTTTTTAAACTCCACTTCTCCTGCAGAATCAACACCCCTACAGAAAAAGAGAACGGATTTTAACCTAGGCTCATCATTTACCCCTAGCATCTCTGATTCAACTTACCCAAATTCCAGCTGCAAAGTCTATCCGTGGTTGTGACACCCTGGCTAGACTGATCACCGTCACCACACAGAACCCAGGGGCTGCAGGGGTGGCGGGAGAGGACCCTTCCACTGATTTTTACTTATGAGCTGAGGAAATCTGATTAATACGTGAAAAGCTGCACTGTCTGTCTGAGAAAGTCCCTGCATTATTATGTCACACTATATTATTTGTTAGAAACTCTAAAAAAGTACAAAATTCTTAATTGCTATTTTCCAACCATTAGAGAGTGCAGCAGGGCGCTCACAACTATTTGTAACATTCTTCAAGGACATGACAGTCTGGAGAACCCACTATTCACACGAATAATATCCTTATAACATCTATGAGTCCCTTATCCCATTATGAAAAGGAATCTAACATAAAGCATGGCCTTTGCTATTCCTCTCTCTGATTTATCCAGGGACAGAACTGTCAAACCGCTGTATACGCAAGAAGGAACTCTTTCATATACCTTTTGTTTATTTAAAAACCCTGGGGTCCCCCTCTCTCCTGTAAGTCTCCAGGGCATTCTCCTTAATTAATCAATTTTGCCATGCTTTGGAAATTCCTTTCTCTATAGGTACCAGCACGTACTAACAGAAGCAGAACTGGGCTGCAAACCTGATTATCCCTTTCTCCCTCCATCCACCCTTCTCCTGGGATCCTACAGGAGAACTCGGGATATTCTCACTCCTTGCCCTACTACCAGCAAGTATCAGAGAGCTGCAGTGTGACTGCGGCTCAGCTGAAGCTTAAAAGAAACCCCCGTGCCTCCCAGTAAAAAGAGGATCTAGCGAGTGTGTTCCTGTCCTGCAGTCTCACTTTCCAGACTCTGGGAGGGAGTCACTTCTGCCACTTACTTCCACACTTCTGGAACCAGTAGAGCCCAACTAGCCCAGCTGTGCTCAACTGAAAGCCATCAAGTGCAATCGTTTTCAATCAGCCAGACCTGGAGGCTGCGCAGGGCTGCCAGGACATAGGAAGCTTTGTAACAGAAGCCTCTTGGGGGAGGAGGAGAGAGGAAGGCTGGGGCAGACTGAGCCGGCGGAGGGCATGCCAAGTTCCCGAAACTCAAGAGCTGGCTACGGAAAGGTTTGCATCAGCTCCTTCGTAGTCAAGAGAAACAGCTCCAAGCTTCCTCCGATAGGATTTTCTCACTTTGATGCATGCTAATGTGTTTTAGCCCACTTGGCCTGAAGTGTGCCTGTTACATCAACTTGATCCAGCCGCACAGGCCAGGACAAGCAGGAGAGATCCACCCAGTGCCTCTCCAGCTGCCACCTCCTCCCTTCCGAGTGGCTTCAACCCGACTGTGCGATACACGCAGAGTGCCGGAGCCCTCAGCTTAGCGAGTGAGATGCTTGCCCTGCCATTCCCGCACACCAGTGGGTTCCCAGTCTAGCAAGCTGCAGAGCCCCTGTGTGACCCGACACATGTTCCCGGCACAGTATTTTATTCTTTATGTCTCTGTCCTCAGCAGAAAAGTCTGCGAGAAGCTGAAAGACAGGCTCCTACCTCGTTATCCACACTCTCTGTGGCCATGCACTGGTTGTTGGCTAGCGTGGTGATCTCTCTGCTTTTGGGGGTTTCCATTCGACAGCTACAGAGGGGGACTTCCTGGAGACCATCTACTTCCATTGCTTCAGGACCATTGGAAAGACCTGGAGTAGAGAAGACAAGTAAATCAACTCTGAAATTCTCTTCCAGGAGAAAGGATGCAGTCCGTCAACACCACCCATGTCCTGCTGCATCTTCCCATTCCATGTCCCGAAACCCTTTCAAGGCATTACCTAAACCCTGTAAAAAAGACCCGTTTCTTACACCAGTTGGAGTTTGCAAAAGCATCCTGTACTTTTCTAAGTCCAGCCACACTACAGATGACTGTGCTGAAGTCAAGAATAAGTTAAGAACAGTTTACTCTGAGAAAACTTCAACAAGGAAAAGCAACAATGAGGTACAGATTTTTATCAGCCTGTCTCTCCTCCCCACCTGCCCCACAACACTGTGCTCTGGCACCAGAAAATTTGTAGGAAACCACTAGGAGTTGGAGATTTGAATAGTTAGTGGAGTGATAAATAAAGAAGATCAGGAAAGCACAAACTTCTATTTGCAGAGGCTTATTACACAGATGGGAAAACAAAATTCCTGGGACTATTTGGTCTCAGCCAACCAAGAATTACTTATTTTGGAAAGAGAACAAACCAGGGAAAATAAAGCAGCAAGATGCTCAGATGTTCTTGCCTTCTCCTCATCTCTTTCTCTCAGATTTTGAACATTTTAAAGGTGGATAATGGTTTTTGAGGGGGCTTACCGCCAGGTATGGGGGCACAGCGTGAATGTTCTTGTGGCTCCTCTGGATTCAACTCAATCACCAGGTTACCCGTGATTGCAATACACTGGCCTAACGACAAAGGGGTTGCTTTTAATCCTACACTCCTATTCTAATCCTACACAGTCGTAACATCTCTTGGCAACATTTTCATTACAGAAACAAACCCTCAAACATTTGCCTTTGGATTGGTTCACCTTGAAGTGTCCCAAGCTTTCCCTACCCAAGCCTGCTATGGGATTGAGTCCCAGTGAGAAGGAAGCACGCTGCTATTTTTTAAGCTTTTGAAAGGAGAGTTATTTTGCTGCAAAGTTTCAAAGATCAACTGAATTCCTGGGGGAGATTCCTCTTTAGCTGCCCTGGCAAAGGCAGCACTCCTCCTGCAGCATCCTGCCCATGGCGATGACCCTATCAGCTGAGCACAAGCCACTTTCATCTTGTAAGGAGTTTCCTTTAGCCAACAAGTTGCAAGACCAAGCCTGGAGAAGGGATGGCGTATTTCAAGACATACAAGCAGAGGGAAAGTCCTTGCAGTTTTCATGTAAAATCCCGTCAAGATCTTAAAGGTTTAAGAGCTTTTTCTAGGACCACAAATCACAAAGCTCATTCCTCGCCTTCCGAGCTGTCACTTTCATAATCTTTTTGACATCCAGAGGCTCCAGTGAAAGCATCCCTCGTCCATCCTGGCCCTCCCTTGGTGGTGAACACTCCCACCCGCTCTTTGATGCGCCTCTATCAAAAGAGCCAGACAACCTTTGAAAGCGAAAGAGCGACGGGGATAGATGGACGGATCCAGGTCAGCGAGGAGGCGCTGGATCCGAGGCAAGTTCAGCACTGGCAACAGCGGCCGGGGGCGAGCACCCAGGAACCAACGCTAGTCCCTCCTCTTCCCGGGGCTGAACAAGAGGATCCTGGGGGGCACTGGGGAGTCGCTAAATCAGCATCCTTCAAGGAAGGGAGGGGAGCTGCTGAGTGGGACAGGCGGGCTGGGACAGCGCCTTGGACCCCTTTGCTGGGCCGTCTTCCCGA